GAAGCAGCCATGCAGTGGCAGCTTCAGAGCACATCTCCCCACCAGTTACACGGTCTCCTTGGCTTGAGCTGCCATACGAGACCCCTCTTACTTCCCATGGAGCATCTTAATAGCACGTGGCTCATTTCTTAACCATTCCTTATTACAGCTGCTTTCTGCCAGATGCGCACCAGCTCCGTGCCCACCACGAGCGGGGCACTGCGTGCAGCCCTTCGGCACAGCTGAGCTGTGGCCAGGCGCCAGCGCTGCCTATTATGGGTTTTATATTGGAGTTTTACTCCAGATAAAGAGACAGCCGCTGGGGAATCTCTGTCTGCCACTGATGCCTCAGCCTGACTGCAAATAAACCGCTCCTCCGTCAAACAAAGAGCACGCATCACCTCCACCGAAAGAACCGTAGGTGGCATGCAAGGCCAGCTAACAGGGACGCCCGCCACCCGCTTTGTCGTGCAGCCCTCGCTGTCTGCATTTCAATGACGCCGAGCTCCGAGCAGCAGCAGCGCCAGGTGCCGGCTGAGCTCCGCCGCTCCCGCTGCCACCGCTGTCACCGCGCCGGGTGGGACATGGGAGGGACCTCGGGCTGCAGCCAGCCCCTGGAGGACCCCAAGCAAAGGGTTTGGGCTTTGGGTGGGGGATGGGGTCTGCCTCAGCCCTTCCCTTCCCCTGGGGACTGGTCATGCTGTGTTCTGCATGTCCCTGTGGTTGTCACTTCTCTGCAACAGCCAACAAACGGGCGGTCTGCATCCCATGGGGAGCTCCAAAGGACAATGAGACACCCAACATCCATATGGACAAAGGAGCTGCAGGGCAGCGAGAAGTGCTAAAGCAGCTCTGGATCCACGAGATGGGCAGCGTGGGCAGCAGCACTGACCTGGGCTGCAGCAGCAGTTCCGGAGCAGCAGGACTTGTGCTCCCATGTGCCCTGCCTGGGGCTGGCAGGAGGGCACCAAAGATCCACGCAGCCCCAGCAGCACCCAGGCCCTGTATGGTGTTTTTCAGGGCTTTCCAGTCTGACTCACGCCGGCTCCCCTTGATGCTGGGCTTCTGACGCAGGCACGGTTTGAGGAGAGCAGCAGCTCGGTAATTAGCAGGAGCGGCTGGCCGCGAGCGGGGAGGCAGAGCCTTGCATTGCCACCAGACAGAGACCTCAGCCTTTAAAGCAAGAGCTGGGGGGACTTTGATTGCTGAAGTGACACTGAAAGACAGCAGATGTCCATGTCCTCCAGCCACGACATCCCTCCCAAAGGAAAAGCTCAGATACGAAAGGCTGCATTTATCTTTTTATTACAAAAAATGTGTGTTGAGCAGGGAACCTGTCCCCCCAGCGTGGCTACCCGCAGAGACTGTGCTGACTTTCCCCTCCTGTGTGTGTGCATGCTGGGTGCTGAAAACAACTGCACCAGCTGCAATGTCTCCTGCACTGGGGATGCTGAGTTCCAGCTATTGCACTACACGAGCTCCATGCTAAGCCTCTCCCTGCACAGCACAGCACAGCACAGCACAGCACGGCTGCACTCAAAATTTGAGATCACTCAGAAATGTACAAATGCACTCATCTCGACTCCCTAGGAAAAAAAAAAAAAATGAACTAAAGCAATCCAGGGCACACTACAGTAAAGCAATGGCTTTTCTTAATCCTTCCTTGTTTTCAACTCCCTCCTCCCGGGATGGGCAGGGATGGGGCACACCATGTTATTAGCAGGGCCACAGTTCCCATGCAGCTGCCCCAGTTGGAAATCCAATATACTGTGAGTCTGACACCAGAGCCAGCTCCCAATAGATGCCTGCAAGATGTGGGTCAGAACATAGGAACTGACACAGCAAAGCAGAGCAGTGCTCCATCCAGTCCTGAAACCAGCACTGTATTCATCTAAGTTAGAGAGCCACCAAGAAGGGGACCTGCACACTGGGGAATTTGTGTCTGGTGCCCATCAGGATCACAAACAAATGCTTTCCAGATTCTGTACCTGGATGGTCACAGCATGCCTGAAAAGGTCAAATCTCTGTGCTTTTATCTTCCTCAGTGTCTGCTAAGCAACTTCCAAAGTCCCCACAACAGGAGCAGTGCATCACTCCCAATCAGGCAGAGCAAGCCTTGCCCCTGTGCTGCTGTTGTGTGCCAGCCCACAGCCATGCAAAGGGATACAGCACTGCACTGCCAGCATGGCCCTGCCTTGCCTGGCCCCACCAGCCCCCTCTGACCAGGGCTTTGCAGCGCTGAAGCCCAGCCCTTCCCTTCTCCTCTCCAAAAGCCTGCAGCTTCCTGCTGGGCTGCTTCCCAGCTATTTATAGAGCAGGGCTGACAAGGTGTCCTGCAAGTAGCCAGCCCTGGGAAGCTGCTACCATGAGTGTGCTTGCTGGAACAGAGGGTCTCTGGTGCTGTTGCTGCCTGCATATGGCCCTGCATACCCCAGGGCCAGACTCACCCCAACTTGCAGAGCCCTGCACGGTGCAGGTGTCTCCTGGCTGTCATACACCCACTGGATAAAAGCACAGAGTGACTGACCCTGCAGCACTGACAGGTGAGGACTGTCCCTGCCTCACAACAGGGGGGCGAAGCCCTGCAGTGTCCCTGCCTGTGCCACCCAGCACCTGCATGCAGCTGCACCCCTTTCCAACACCGCCAGGGATGCAGCCGCTGATCCTCTCTGGAGATGCTGCTCCTGCCCTCACCCTCCAGCCCCAGGTCCAGCATTCTCACCCAGTCACAGCCCTGCATGGCCCTTCCTGGAAGCTGGCTAAAGTGGAATTCTTACCCTGAACAGCGTGTGCCTTCAACATCACTCCACCCCAAGACAGTCCCTGCAGCTGCCCAGCCCTTTCCAGGCATGATCACAATCCTTGTGCCCATTGCTTTTTCTGTCCTCCCAGACCTGAAGCACCTCCACACCTCCAAGCAGGTCAGTGGGACACGCAGAGAGCCCTGGTGCAGGTCCCAGCTGCATGAGGAAAGATGTCAGGGGTTTTCCCCATGAGAGGAAAGCACGGGGTCTGGGCCAAGATGGGAATTAAGAGGAGGCTGACTGTTCTGTACCTGGTGTGAGAAGCAGACACCGCTCCCCAGAGCTGTCAATCTGGTACCTTTCACCAGCACTAAAATTCAATTAGTTAAAACAACAACAACAACCGAGGCTCCAGACAGCTTGCGCCTAACACATTTGATCCCTTTTATTACTCAGCACTGCTCCAAGCCCAGCCAGCAACATCCTCACTGACTCCCACTAGTTTCCCTGTTTTATTCTACCAGGATTAAGTCAACCCTACAGACTCCAGCTGTTTTGTGGTTGGGCCTGGATACATCTTTATACTCTAGCTACATTATTAAGTGGATTGTGGCCAAATTGACAGAGCTGCTTCGGGGAGGACAAGGCCATTCAGGTCAGTGATGGTCCTGCCAGCTGGAGAGACACTCGGGACTCATGATCTGCTAGCAAAGCTCTGGACTGTTGTCTTAGCCTCACTTGATGTCTCGGAGGGGGCTTCTGTGAAAGCCCTGACTCTAGCAGGAATGTTTGATTTCTTGGCAGAGATGTGTAACAATCTGTCTTGGAGTATTGCAGGAAGATTTCATGTTTGGGCGGTTTGTCCATAGCATCGCTTCATCATCTGCTGCGTAATCCACTCCTTGGCCTTCCCTGAATGGAGGCTCCGCTGACCGCTGGCAGCCCTCTCTGCCCATAGCTGCTGGACAAGGCTGATCTGGGAGCACTGCGTCTGGGCTGGCGGGAGCTCATGCTGCTCAGGAACCAGGCAGTGACACAGCTGAGAGCTCACCCAAAGGTGCAAAGGTGCATATTGTGATGTAATGCAACACGCTGCCAGGCCATGCAAGGCAACAGGATGCCATGCAGTATGATCTGATGCAATGTGACACGATGCGACACGATGCAAGGCAGTGCAGTGCAGTACACAACAGAATGCAACGTGATGCAGAGTAATTCAACACAAGGCAATGCACGCACAAGGAGCATGGCTCTGCCTGTGCCAAATGGGAGGACTCAGGAGGAGAGTTAACTAAACAGAGAAGAGCCCGGTTTGCTCCTAGGTTAAAGCACCCTTTGTGCTGTTAATGAATGCCAGCAGAAGGGTCATGCAAAGAAAGGGATAAAAGCTCCATCCATCGGTTCATTTGAAACAACACTGTCTGTGTGATTTATGAAACCCCTTGAATGCAGGGGGCTGCTGGGGGCTCTCACACCAACTCAATGCAGAGCAGCAGTGGGCTGTTGGTCAGTCACCCCCTGCTGCAGGTATGTGCCGGAGAGTGGGCTCCTGGTCACACGTAGCCTGGCGGCAGCTGTGCACCCACCAGTGCAGGGTGCTGCACTGAAATAACTCCTTGTGAGCAGATCCTGGCATTACAGCTCTCCATCTGCAGTAAGAAGAGCTTATTTTGGAATGGTGAAATTCAAGGTTGGATGTGGATGATGCTCAATGTGGGCAGCGCTCTGACTGTGGGTGAGAACAGCCCTGCAGAAAGTTAAGAGCCTCAGCAGCAATCCATTGTCCAGAGCCATTCCATGTGAACCTCACACCCCACCCGGGCGCAGCTCAGCCTCTTTGTGCACACACAGCCCTGCACACCCCAGGCATTGCAGGGTGCAGCCGATGCACGCTTACCTTCGGCAGTCTGCAAAGCTGATCCTCCTGCAGCACAATAACACTGCTTCCATGTGTGACTCATAGTTTTCCCCCTGCCTTGGTCTTGTAGTTTTTCTAATTACTGTGAGCTTTGCAACTGTGAACATGTAATGTTCCAGAAATGTGTGTGTGATTCACCTAACGCAGGGAGCGTACTTCCAGCCAAAAGGGACTCGGAGATTTTTTTGGCATCAGTCTGCTACCTGGAGAGCAGCCAGAAAAGCTCACCAAGGTCATTTCTTTCTCCTTCTCCTCTTCCCTGTGCTTCTCTCTTCCCCTCAGCCCCTCTCTCCCTCCCCTTTTTCCTCCAAACAAGAATCAGGCAGCACCTTGTTTATTACTCATCAGCCTTCCCCCTATAAAAATCCCCCCAGAAACTCACACCGAGCCGCAGCTGCGCTCCTGCCAACTGCTCTCCCCGCGCCCTCCCCGCGCTGCTCCGTGGGAGCACATCCTGCTCAGGGCACAGGGGCTGTTGGCTGGAACACGCTCCGGATGTTCCCATGGGACTGAGGAACTCAGCTTCCATCGGGATGTGTCCATGGAGTTCCCCCGGTGCTTAGAATCTCCTATAGGAGCTGTGTGTCCATCTGTCCCTCCGTCCTCAGCCAGCGGTCAGTACTTTGGGCAGCCCCAGCCTCAAGGCATTCCCAGCCCCATTTCCACAGTGGCTGTGGTGGAGATGTTTGGGCAGAAGGCCATGCGACAAGGCCCCAGGGTTTCCATTGCGCGTGGAAATAATCTGGCATCCCACGAATTTTTATGAAAGCAGCAGCAGCATTTGCGACTGTTATCAGCTGTAACAGGTTAGCATCAGACATAACAGTCTGTGGAGGGAGCGGGAAGGGGGACATCAATTGTCACTGCCTTATTTCAGTCCGTGGGTTCCATGCTGTCCCATAGGAGCATCTCAGCTCTCTCAGCACATACCTTGAGAAGCAGGATGTTTCTGAGCCCTGGCTGTGCTCACATGGCAGCCACAAAGCACCCACATGGCTGGGTGCTGCAGTCAGAGCCATCTGCCCCTGTGGCATCAGCGCAGTGCCTTGACATGGGCTCATGTGCTCCCATCCCACTCTCCCTCCATGTAAGCCAGGGCCAAGAGTCTCACCCTCTGCATTCTGCCAAATCCTTCCCCAGTGTAGGACTCCACAGTGCTGATGACCCCAGAGCCCTCAGACCCAAAGCCATTTTAACTGCTTTAAAGGTGGCATGTGGGGAACTCCGGCACTCCCAGGGAGCAGATGCAAAAGGCTTTCATCTGCTTCCTCCGTGCTTTCAGCAGCTGGGACACAAATGACATGGAGTTTGTGACACAAATCCCAAAGCTGGCAAACAAACACCAAGAGCACAGCTGGTCCCATGGCCTTGGCCATGAGCTGTGGCTCAAAGCACATTCTTGCAACACGCGCTTTCTGGGTCGAGCGGTGCGTGTCCGCGGTTACGCTGCAGTGTGAGCACAGGGGATGCTTCGGGACATCTCCCCCAGCAGCATTTTGCTGAATTCTTCATCTCTGAGATCACAGATCAAGGCAGAGTTTAAAGCAGTGGCCAGATCACTGTTTCACGGACCTAGAACAAATACACTAAAAGCTTCCCCTGTGTGTGTGCAGATTAAGTCGTTAATGAATATTTTTGCTAAGCATAAGAAATCTGGCTGGCCTGGGAGCTCAGCTCGGCCAAGATGTGGGAGATTTGGCGGAGCAGCTTCAGCACAGCAGCAGTGGGGCCTCAGGCACCGCACGGTGAGGTGAGCGCACTGGGCAGCCCCTGGGTTGCTGCTAAGTGGGCAGGAATGTGGCCCTGCATATTGCTGGGGGGCTGCAAAGCATTGCAGGACAACTTCCGTGTATCCACTGAGGGAGTGTTCTTGTGTGTGTGTGCATGCAGACAGGGGTGAGAGCTGTGCTGAGAAAGTCCATGAGCATTGCTGGGTTCTGTCTGCTCTGTAGGGCAGTGGGGCTGTGCTGTGGGGAGGGGCAGGGGGCAATGGGCTCTGCGCTGGCACAGATAACGCTGGTAAATGAGCCTGGGTAGACAGAGTTCTGGGAGTCTGCTGAAGAGATCTGAAAAAAAAAAAAGGGGAAGAAAAAAGAATTTAAAACCATCGTGGTACGACAGTCACCTTCCCTGCCTCACGTTTTCCAGGAATGGTGCTCAGGCAGCTTTACAGATGTTAATTAAGACTCGTGCCCTTCCCCGGGGATGCACTGAGGTATTACAAATAATAGTATTAGCAGGAGTATCGGTACAGACAAATTAATTAAGGGTAATATCTTAAAGGCAGAAGGCTGCTGGGTCATGCTGCTGGCTGGGAGATGGGGAGAAACGGCCCTGCAGGGTGAGGGCAGCACGTGCAGGGAGCAGCAGCTGCACTGAATGGTGCAGGTGCGTTAGGAGGGGTGCAGTAGAGGGGCTTTCCCTGCTCTGCTCACCCCAGGACAAGGAGAGCACAGCAGGTGCTGACCCTGTCAGCCAGTACTGTGGGATGCTGCCCTCCCAGCCCCAGGAGCACTCCCAGCCCCACCGGATGCTTTTCGGCCGGCTGCGTTTGGCCTTGGTCAGAGGGAGGATGTGGCCGTGAGTAGCCCAAGAATCAGCCCAGCAGTGACTGCACGCTGAGTTATTTTGGGAAGCCAGCTCTTTGTGTGTCACACTGCTCCTCGTGTCCAGAAAGAGCCACCGAGAACAACTGGGGAAAAAATATTGCCCTGCGGCGTGATGCATTTAATGGGGGATATGACCTGGTCTGATTTCCTGCGATTCTGCCACTCCAGGCCACCAGCACTGAGCTGGAGAGGCACTGCCGGCCGGTGGCTGTGGGACAATGGCCAGAGTGCCATCCGTGCCAACACCATATCTGATCCTGCGAGGAAAGAGGGGTTCCTGCAGTCCCCAGATAGGGCTGTGCATTGTTTGAGCCGTTTATATCCATGCAGGTTTGGCAGCCAAGGTCCTTGGGATACTGGGTGAGGCAACTCCTGTTGTTGTAGACATCACTTCCATTTTCCTTCCTCTTCTTCCTTTAAAACAAAGCCGTTATCACTGCCCTGATCTTGCTCCTGAAGGGGGATGAGGAGGGGCTCGTGCTGCCCATGGAAGCCTTCCCATTCCCTGCACGCTCGTTTGTCACCTGGGAGCGGTGACAGCGCAGCATGAGCTGGGGCGCACGGCGAGGCCACTAGGCTGCATTCTTGGAGCGCTGCTGAGAAAGTCTGTGGCTTCTTCAGGGAGGCTGCAAAGAACGGAGATGGTCTAACAGAGCCAAGCTCTAGTACGGCCAAAGAGACCACAAACAGATGGTCTGTGTGGATCCGTGGTGGGATGAAGGGGAGGAATTGTGCATCTCCAGGGAAGGTAATGACCTGGTCGGGGCACCTGGGTGGAGCTGCACAGAGCAGTGCTAATGGGAGTGGGTCACTTCTCAGCTGCTGCTGGAGGGAGCAGCAGCGTGTCGCTGGAAGTATCTGAGCACAGCCTTGGCCAAGGCCGTAGGAGAGACTGTCCAGACCCCTAATCCAGCACCAGAAGAGCATGAGCTAAATACCACTTGGAGAAATAATGCTTTCAGGAACGCACCTGGCACAGGTAATTAGTGAGGACAGCCCTGCCTGGCTGTACCTCTGCCTGCTCCAGGAGCCCCTGTGCTTGCAGGCTGTAGCAGCCACCGTGCAGCAGGCCCAGCACTGCAACTCCATGGCCAGGAATTGTTTCCCACGGTGTGTACAGGCACCCACGGGTGGAAGTTGCCTGCCCCCAGCACTGCCCTCGTCCATCCGCAATGCACACACAACCACAGAATGCAGACCGGCCCCTTTTTCCATCTTAAACTCCTCAGTACATGCGTTCCTCTGGAGCTGCTGTTTTGTTCATCACTCCTCTTCCAGCATGTTCCCAGAGTGTGCTCAGCCCTTACTAATTAAAGCAAAGGCAAGGAGAGGCAACGATCTGTGCGTGGAGCAGACATGCAGAAGCATGGATGCTGTGAGTCAGGGAACACTCCTTGCCAATTCTTCACATATGCTTTTGTACTCACTCATTGTTTGGCTTCTTTATATTTTTCCCAAAGAGTTCAGCAGATGGAAGGGAGTGCTCCCTGCGCATACCCATGATTGTGCTGAGCTGTAGGAAACCTGCTCTGGGCATCGCCGTGGGGCTGGGCAGAGTGTGCAGAGAGGCCGGCACCAGGGTCCTGCTTTGCTCTCAGCACATGTGGGCAGGGCAATGGCAGCAGACAAGCAGCTGGCTGGGAGAGCGGTGGTCCACATGAGATGCAAGCCACAGAGGCCAGGGAAACCAAAGCTATGTCATGGCTGGAATGGATCCTGCTGCTTGTGGTGAGAAGCTGTGCAGCTGTGTCCTGTGAGGGAGTGCAGGCTGCAGAAGGGCTTTGCCCCAAGGAGTCCTTTGTGCCTCCAGGTAGCATTATCAGTGCGGCAGAGAAGGGTCCTCAGCACCCTGCAGAGCATCATCACAGCCTCACACACTTTTCACAGTGCCCCCTCCTTCAAAAGCAGCTTTGGGTACCCTCACCTCATCCAGCGCCACTCTCCACCTCAGCGGCAGTGCTGGCTGGGACCTCATCCTCTGTGAAATGAGGGAGAAGAGAAGCACAGCATCCTTGGAGCCCAGAACAATATCACTCGTAGCTCTTGGTTGGCGACCTTGTCTGCAAAAGGCATTGCAGTCTAATATAAGGCCCCGACCAGCCAGCTCTGCTCAGGCTGAAACTGCGCACACAGGTGGGAGCATGCAGGGAGATGCAGGAGGCGTGACAGAGAGAAATAAAGACTGAGACCTGCTGTAGCAGAAGAGACACCTCCAATTGGATCAACGTCAGCTCTAATATGGAATCTTCCTCTCACACACATCTGTCTCATGGCTCTGGGTGGGCACCAGGCTCTGACAGCAGTTTTGTTCAGCAAGGTTCGTGTAAAGCAGCTGGAAACAGGCACTGCTCCTGCCCTGTGATTGTGCAGAGCTCTGCAAAATGCTGTAACTGTCCGGAACAAAAAGCCAAATTTTCCTCAAAATGAGGGACACATGATGATACCAACACTCCCTTACCACCATTGTCTCTGCAGAAACACATGCACCTCATCAGCTGCAGATTGCCAAGGAGAGAACAAACCATCTTCCCACACTTCGTTCCAGAGAAAGGCTGCCAGCATTACCTACACGTGCACTGAACAGGTGGAGGGAGATGGCAGCGCTCAGATAGGGCACCGTGCTCAGCCTGAGGGAGAAGGGAGCTGTGTTTGGCTGCATGTGGGTGTGTGAACACTCAGCCATCGCCTCAATAATACTCCACTGTCACTGGGACTCTGCCCAGCCTGGTTCTGGTTTCTCTCGGTCACCATGGGAAAAAGCTCCAGGCCACCCAGCATGAAAACGCAGCACAGAAGGGCAGCAAGAGGAATCACCTCCCAGCTGGAGGGTTTTCTGAAGATAGACACGAACCAAGCTTCTGTATTTTCAAAACTGCTTGGAAAAAAATCATGCTTTGGCCCAGGACTGCACTCTGCATCTCACATCAAACCTCAGCTGATACCGTCTGAAATGTTCGGTTTGCTCTCCTTCAGAAAAGCACATCCATGGCTCCTCTCCTGCCTTGGCTCTGTATCCATCTCCAACAGCAAGGTGTGATGAGAAAACCCTTCACTCTGGCACTGCGGGTGCAGCTCAGGCAGAGCCGGGAAGCACGCAGAATCCCAGGGGAGCTGAGGTCTCTTAATGTTTTCCAGCACAGCCCTCGTAGCAAAGATCTTTGCAGCCCTCCGGGCTCCAACCTGTCAACCCCTGGGACTCAGCACAGAGCCCCACCTGGCACCTGTGAGCAGCAGCACCGGGGCAGCTCCTGCTGAGGAACACAGCCCAGCTCAATGGGCTCCTTTAAGCCACGCCAGGCTGCTCTTTGGAGCCATTAAGACTTTCTAAATACCACAGAAATGCCAGAACATGCATCCGACGGCCACAAATTAATCAGTGCCGGCCAAGGCCAGCACAGCCTGTTGTGCACCACTCTGCTCACTGGGAGCTCCCAGCACTGCACTTCCGAGGGCCGGCTGTGGCCACAGGGCTGCTGCCCACTGCTCCCAGAGCACTGCCAGGGACCCTTGCCGCAACCCAACCGATAGATTAGGTTCAAAAAGAAAAGCCAGCCACCGAGTTTGCCACAGAGCACATGTGGTATTTATCCGTGGGGTGGAACACACTGACACAGCGGGGGGACAAGACCAAAATTCCCCAAGAATAATTTAGAAGAGCCACACACAGAGCCGGCCACCTCCTCCCCAAGCAGCCCAGTGGTGGCACATGGCTCTGACAAAGCTAGTGGGGCTCTGCAAGAAGCAGCTCTGTGCAAAACTGTGTGGCACAGAAGGGCCGTGGCTGGGGCTGATCCCTAACAGCCACTGCAACCCCGCTCCACCCTGCACAACGCACCCCTAGGTGTAATGAGGTCCCCAGGGCAAGGCATGAACTATCTGAAACCAAATGAAAAGGCAAGGAAATGCCTGGGGAAGGCCTGTGTGGGACACAGCCCCGCAAGGACACATGAGCCGGGACCTGGTGAGCCTGTTCCATCTGCAGCTCCTCCATATGAGTGAAAAAACAGGGGAAAGAAAATTACAAAGAATGCGGGACACAGAAACAGAGCTGTTTCTAAACAGGATGCTTTTAAAGCCTTCCAGGAGGCATGTGCTGGTTCTTTAATCCCCATCAGTTCATTTATACCTAGTAACTTTTTACTGCTACCCTATTACATCAGGCCCTATAGGGACAGAAGATGGTGGTGGGAGAAACTCAGGAAGTTGGGAATTTGAGGGAGACAGAGCGGATGAGTTATGGAGGCCCCTCCTGTCACCAGCTCTGCTAGAGTTCAGCTGCGGGTAAAGCACTCAGAGGTCTGAATACTTCTCCAAACTTGCCCAGCGCCCCAAGCCAACACTGCTGGCTGAAAACCTGGCTGAGAAGTGCATGTGACTCCTGCTTGCAGCTGGCCAGAAGCACCAAGGGACGAGCCAGCCTAGCCAGAGGTGAGAAGAGGGCAAAAAGGGGAGAAAGAGCCTTCCCAGTTGCCCTGAAGCCCATTCTTGCAGAGCTTTAGAGAGAAGAACCCAGGGCTCACAGAGGGTTCATTTATTTGCTACCTCGCTAAGTCCAGCAGTTCCCTGGGTCCAAGATCTCTGGTTTACAACCTCTGCTCTTCTGCTCCAGGAATTCTGCACAATAACAGAGCCAGGTTTGTGCTCAGCCAAAGCTCTGGCACATTTGAAGAGCAAGGAGGGTTGCAAATGTTATTAATGCTGCGCACACTGGGCTTAGGAACAAATTCCTCTGCAGAGTGCATCCAGGGCTGACTGGCTGGAGTTCTGCTCCCAGCTTGGGGACCTCGGTGGGGCGATGAAGCCTCACCTTGGACAGAACGCTCCAGGAAGAGGGGAAGGAACAAAAGTCTCTCGTGAAAAGCAGTAATCGTTGTTTTTTGTTTGGGTAATTGTTGTGCTCAGGCCCTGTAGGCCACTAGTAATCGCTGCCTTAACCAAAGACCTCTGGGAAACAAAGCAAAACCTACAGGGGATGAAAGCTCTCTTCCCTCCTCCCCCCCCCCAGAACAACGCACAAAGTATCCCTTGTAAAAACGGGTCATTGAAAACAGCGGCAGTTTCTGGAATACCTGTTAATTTACTCAAACATAACAATAGTCAGACTCTGCTCCTCGTTCCTGCGGCTGGAGGAGGGCTGTGGGTGAGGGTTGGCACCCAGACTCCATCGCACACAACCCCGGGCTGGGAGGAGGGGACGGTCGCTGTGCACCAGGAGGAACGCTGCCTGTCCACTGTCTGCAATGGCACAGAGCAAAGGGGATACATGAGGGGCCTGCATACATAAAGAAGGGACTGGAGAAGGAAAGAGGGATGGAAGAAAGCTGGAAAGAGAGGGAAAGGCAAAGAGGAGGAAAAAGTCAGCGGCAGAAGTGAACGGAAAACGTGAGAGAGGCTGAGCCCCTCGCAGGGAGCAGCCTTGCCCCTACAGCCCTGCCGTGCTGCTCAGGCCTCCCCTTCCCCCTTGCAGAGCAGCAGGAATGCCTTTTCCCACTAGCACCATTTTGTTCTTGCTCTGGTTTTTGCTCGCCTGCTTTGTTCTTCTTACAAGCCATGGCTGAGGGTAAGCGCTAATTCCTTCCAGGTGCTGCGTCCTGACATCCTGCCGCTCCCTGCACCCCCTGCAGCTCCCAGCCCTGCCCCGGGGGGGCTCAGCCCTGCTCCTCCAGCCCAGGCAGCACTCAGAGCCTGGCAGTGGCCTTCTGGCCTTCAGCGCAAGTTTGGGTGCAGCGGGAACACTTGTCCCACCCGCAGCCACAGGACACTGGGCTCAGGGAGATGAGCAGAGCCACAGTGACGTTCTGAGGGACGCATCCAGCACCTAACATGCTGCATCAGTGCAGGCTGACCCCAGGAGTTCAGTATCAGCTCCCTGCTCTGAGAGAACACGTTCTCATGGGGGCCTCTCAGGGTCTGGACAAAGCTCGGAAGAAGCGAAGAATCAACATCAGACCAGGAAATAACATCCAGCTCAGTGAAACGCTTTGGCATCTCAGTGAAAGTTTTAGAGGGGGAAGAACAGTTATGGGCAGCAGTTCAGGACGCTCACAAATGAGTTCACATGACTCTAATAAAAACAAACCCAGGTCAAATCACAATAGGTGGTCCACATTATGAAACCCATGGACCCCGCAAGATGAGTCCATAGGTGGGTGACACGCAGACCCTGTTCCATCAGCCCAAAAGGGCTCAGGAGCACCCCTTGGTGTAAAGGATGGTGCTGGGGAAGGTTGCCTGGAGCTCAGCAGAGCCTCCTACCATCAGCATGTCTGAGCAGTTGGAAAGGAAGCACAATAAAAAGACCACTTAAACAACTCATCAGCTAAACAGCTGAGAAAGCCAGGCAAGAGGTCTGCCAGCAAGTTGGGGTCCTAATGTGTTTGCAATTCATCAGCCTCCTGCTCAGCTCCTAGCAAGCCGGCAAGGCTGGGATTCAAAGGTGAAATACCTGCATCTGCTCCCATCGTGTCTGCTGCTTAGTGCAAACATTTATGTTTCTCGGCATATAAAATAAACAGGCCCGTGTTCCAGGGAAGCCTGTCAGTGCAACAGCAGATACAATTTATGGTGTGTGAGCATGACTCCCAGTGCACAGGTCCAGGAATGGGGGAAAGGGAGCAGAGTCTCCTTACAAAGCAGACAACTCTGGCTCCTGCTTCATTCTCCACCTGCAGAGAGACGCGGGGCAAAGGAGAGGACAGACATCTCTGTCCTGGGCTGCTGGAAGGCACATTTCTGGGGAGTGGTTCTGGCACAGCAGATGCACTTGGCTGCCTAGACATGGGGTGGCACCTCCCAGCCCTCCAAAATACACAGGCACCTTGGGGCTGTGTCTTGCCTTAAGTGTACATCTCAATAGACACATGGGCAGAAGCAGCCAAAGGCTCCAGCACAGCAGCTGCAGCCACTGCTGGGTGTGGGATGCAGAAAAGAATACGGGAACACGGGGCGTAGAGGCTGCACAACCCCAACACAGCCCCACAACACCCTTAGCATCCCTACCCACCCCTGGCTGAGCGGAGGAAGCAGGCCACAGCCATTTATTGATTGCTATTACATCAGCAATGGCAGCATTTTGTGCAATAGCGTTGCATCTTACCTACTAATACTGGTGATGCTGGTGCAGCCTCGTGCCTGGGAACAATGGCAGCAATTAAATGTCATCCCCTCACCAAGGACGATGTGAGAGAAGTGTTCCTGTCCAGCTCCTCTGCTCAGGGCCACACCTCCGTGTTCCCAGGGCTTCAAAAGGGGAGCTGGAGATAAGAGATGAGAAAAAGAAACACACAGGACAAACGCGAGGAAATAAGGTTACTGGGACCAGCAAGAGAGACTTCCTCTATAAGCCTGTTTCCCATTTCCTCTCCCTCCTCTGAAATTATCTCTGAGCTCTTTTTCCCCTCTTCACTGCCCAATATTTAATTGAAAACGCAGATCTGTGGTGCAGAGAGGTGTTATTTTCGGCACAAGAATTGAGATATCTCCTAGCAGCTGTCAATCCCCGCGACCTCAGCTTCTGTACAGACTTCACGGGCCATTTTTCCCCTCCTTTTTCTTCCCTTCTTTTCCCCCACCTCCCTTTCTTTCCTGCAGCCGAGTTACTGTTCCATTGCTCTCCGTTGGGACTCCGACAGGAGCTGAGCTCCTCGTGGATGACACAGAATAATTGAGCCGTCCTTCTGCTGCCCTTCAGTCCCTGCCAGCGCTGCCTCCTGCAAGCGGCAGCTGAGCAGCACCCGCACGGCACCGAGCCGACATCCACAGATCCACACAGAGCATCGCCTCTGTGCACCGAGGAGGTGGCAGAAGCGCCGGCCCGGATGATGACAACATTTGAACGAGGCGGTGATCTGAGCAAAGAGGCTGTTATCGCTCCTGATGGCTGTTATTGCTGCCCCTGGAGATAAAACCACCAGTGGGGATGGCACTTCTAAACAAATGCAGGGAGAGAGGGGCGCTCGGTGAGGAGGATGGCAGTGCATAGGGCACAGGGCAGGGCTGCAGGCTGTGCCGTGGGGCAGGAAGCGCTCAGCCCGCAGCCCCCGCTGCAGATTCCTCAGTGTCCGCTCGCAATACAAACAAACTCATTTCAGCAAACGCTATGACGAAAGGTTTTGACTTTTCTCGTGGTTTTTGTTTTCCGTTCTTTTTTTTTTTCCCTCCCCCCTCTATTCATCCTTTTTGGCATTAGTTCACCAGTGGATTTGATTGTCCCCAAAGTGGTGTTTCTGGTAAATAAACCATTGTCCACCTCTCTCTCCCCAGCATTAGCCATGCCAACTTCCATTGTGCTGACAATTGATTCCAGGTGCTTTCAGCCTCTCTTTCCCAACGCAAAATGCCTACACAACATCAATCTCAGCGGTTGGGGCGAGCAAAGCACCGCTCAGAAGAGCCCACACAGCCCCAGCCAAGCTCAAAGCACACACTGCAGCACATCAGAGAGCAGGGCAGAGAGGTGAGCACCTTCCTGCACACATTAGCTCCAAAACAACCCACAAGAGATTGGCAAAGACTGCTTGTAACCATTGAAACCATTCTCTATGCATGGGATCCTGGAACACAATGGAAAGAAATACCCAAAACAAAAACATTCTTGATCCCATGGCTGGGGAGAGGGTCAGAACCACACAGCAGCGCTTCCGGGAGCACTGAGCAGTCACCATCAATTTTAAAAGCAGTATCACTTAATTACTTCCTAATTGTAAATACAGGTGCTGTACCTGTGCTGAGCTGGGAAACCTGAGGCAGGAGAAACGCTTTGGCCACTCGACTTCATGACTCAAGCTCTAAACCAGGAACGCTTAATTCCATTTGTGCACTCGATCTGGTCCTGAGATATTTCAAAGGCTATCTGTGGTGCTTTAGAAGCATTGCAAGGTGTTGTAAGTTACAACAGGAAACGTCTTTAATTTTGGTTAGGGACCTTAAAAACACAAGGAAAAGCTTAGGTGAGACTTGTATGCAGAGTGGGAAACATGCTGCCTATAAAAAAAAATGTAAAAACGGAATCAATAGAGGTTAGATGTAATGGTAATATCTGTGCAAAGATGGCTTAATTGTCAGTTCAGAGGGAAATGTCAACTCCGCAATGGAAATATTTACAGGAATTTATAGCAAGGAACTATTTGGCTCAATCTATGGTCAATAATTGAGATAATTGCTGCAAAATGAGATTGTCTGGCATTGAAAAAAGGGTCATAAGAGACAGCTGAGCTGCTAGAAATGCTGCTCTCCAGCCTGCGCTCGTTAACTAACAGGGAGAGGAATGGCTGGACCTGGTGTGGGATCACCTTGTCCACTTTAGGGAGATATTATCCAGGCAAGCAGCTTCTCCAAAAGAGGAAAAATTATTCCTGCATCGTTAGAGTGGGGGATTTTATAGGGATAAAATAAAAAAGGGGGTGGGATTGGCTCTGCCCCTTCCTGAAGGAGGCTCCACAATGCCCAAAGCTCCTGCCCACCGCTCTGTGCTGCTGCAGGGAAGCTGCCTTCAGTTCTCACCAGACAGGGTTGGCACTGCTCCATGAGAAGGAAACAAACTGTCCCACACCTCTCTGCCACTGCTGCCCTGCAGAGACCTTTCTTCTGCCCTGTCGATGTGAGCACACTGGGCTGCTAACATTGCTCCAAATCCATCGGGACCTCAGGCACATTCCTTATATTCCACACTCTGTATTCCCAGCTCCCCATGCCTTGCTTGCCTCTGTTCTGCACAGCTTTCCTCCTCCAGCCCATGCAACTGCATTCACACAGAGATGCTCCTAGGGAGAAGCAGAGCAACACTCATAGAGCCCAACCCACCCTGACATTCCCTGCAGCAGAAGATGGTCATTGCTCTGAGACGAGCCTGAATTACAGTACCTCACATCAGAAGGTGGGCAGCACCAAGCGCCATGCCTGGGGGCAGTGACAGGGGGCCTCTCCAGGCTGGCAAGGAGCACAGGCCAGAAAATGGCTGTATTTCATCCTTTCTTCAAAGGAAAGTGGCTGCACACCTGCATAGGTGTTCCCACCAACCCAGGCTTCCTTTCCCCCAGCACAAAACACCAGTGAGACCCCCAGTAACCCAGTGATGTGCTAACAAGAAGCCCCACACCACAGGTTGCCTGGCTGGGGGAGGTCAGGACCACCTCACCTGTGGTGAGCTTTTATCAGCACTTAATTAAAACTTGACAAGAAGATTAACGCACAGAGAGTAGTTTTAATTAACTTAAAATCGTATTCAATTTTCCAGCTCATCCCAGGCACCTGCAGATCCCAGTGCAAACCTGGGTGGGGTGGGGTGGTTCTGCCCCACACCTGGTTTTAGGATGTTAATAACCACTCTGCCCCCTCTCCCCCGGGTCCATTCAAGCCTAACTGTGCATGGAAAGAACCTCTGCCCTATAGGGAACTGCAAGCAGTGTTCACCAGATCCTGCTATTTCATCATGGAGGTGCTCTGCAAGACCTGAGAGCTTTCCCTGCAACCCTGTGCTGCTCTGAGTGTTTCCTCAATGCTCCACCACCCACTGCAGCAGCACACAGGGCTGGGGGTACCTGGCTGCACCCCCGGGGCCCGGCTGTGTTCCTGCATCAGGGAGCACACTGAACCTTCCACCAATTCTGTCAGAAATAGCTTGCTGTTCAAAAAAAACCCCATGTTATTGTTAACTTTCTCCTTCCATTGTTTTTTCTGTGTCACCTCGTGCCTCTCCCCTGCTGATTTCCTGACAACCTTGGGCCAAACAATGCACTGACAGAGTATTTTTTTCCTCCAGAGATTTACAGCCCGGGGGGGTGGGGTGCTCTCTTTCAGCCCCAGGTCTCAGCACTGCTCTGGACACTGCTCTGAACCCTGCAGGGCAACTGCAAGGATTGACACTTTTGCTTTCATTGCTTCAGAGCAGTATTAGAATGGGGCAAGGTACTTTGGATCCAATGGGAATAACCTCCCAGCCATGCTGTAAGGTCATGCAGCTGACAAAGGAGCATATCCAGCTCCAAAGGCAGGTGTCAGCTGAGTGTGTTCTTCTGCAGTTTGTGTGACTTTATTTTTTGGCTCCTGCTGTCTTTCTTGATGCTCTGAGTTCAGTCAGTTGTGATTTAATAAACTGTCGTGTTCTAATTTCCCATGGAGAGTTTCATTCAGGTTTGATTTGGGAAGGAAGAGCGAATGTCCTCCTAGCACCTTCCTAAAGTAGGATTTCCCTGCCCTTCTTTTGGATGAATTCCATCCAAAGCCTGATGGGTGCTGTGAGACACAAAGGAAACGCAGTGGCCAATGTCATCAGATGTCCCTGTGAGCCCCATGCTGCTGGAAGAAGAAAAGGAGTGGTGGTGCTGGCTGTGGTGAGCCCATGAGGGCTGGGAGCAAGGCACAGTCTGAAATAGCAACCATAGGGTCTGCAGTACAAACCCAGATTGATCACGAACTCAAGTGAGATGCTCGTGGCCTGACTGCTGTGTACACTCCCTGCATGAGGGGACTGCAATCAGGTCCAAATTATCCAGCAAACACTTCAGGATGACAAATTCTTGGGCAGAAATCAGCCAAGGGCATGTGAGTGCTTTGCAAACAAGAACTATGCTGTCGGATTGAAGCAGGCAGTGTTCAGCTGGGTCTGACCCCAACATCACACCCGTGGCTGCGGCAAAGGTGGGCAGCTTTCTCCTCGAGCATTCCCTCCAGAGCAGAACCAAAGTGGCTCTGCAGGGAGAGCTGCTGTGCACACCATGCTGCCTGCCCCATTATAGAGCTCCTGGCTCGGGAACTTCTCACTATCTCCTCAGCAAAGCCTTGAGGCCCTTAATGCCACTGTGTTTGCTGACATCTGGGCAATGAGAAAGTGGGAATGAATTTTTAACAAGCCCTTCAGTCCTTGTAGGAACATACTTGCAGTTGCTGAAGATAACTATGCTGACATGGCGCCAGGACACTGAGCAGTCCTCTCCAGTTCACCCGATCATCAGCCGCACTGGAGTGTGCCCTTTCACCAGTACTGCCTTTACAAGGATGGAACTGTTTCTGTGCTGCCACTGAGTCCTCCAGCCCAGCCCTCATGAGCTAACTCTCATTCCAGGTCATTTCCCAGCACAGCATCTCTGGGGACCCTCCTCCCCAGCCCATTCCCACAAGGAACACCAGGACTGGCAATGCCAGGGGACCGGGAGGCCGTGGGAGATGGGACAAGCATTTTACAATGATGAATGGACAGAAGCAGCCCATCCTACATGGGGGGCACGACCCCCTGCAATATCTCAGAGGGCAATAG